CCATACAATACATTCCTTCTCCAGTTCCATCGGTCAATCATTTCTGTCGACTGTAACTGAAGAACACTAACTGAGCTGCATGTAAATACACACAATAAAAAGGTCACTACTACTTTATAAGAGTCCACAGCACTTTAACTTTGTACCAGAATTTGCTTCTCCGTCTTCTACATTAGTCCCAGCTGTACTTCTGGAGCTTCATGGTGTAAATGTACTCTTCCTTCCAAATGTCATGTATTTAAAAACTACTATCATTTACCCCTAAAGACTTTCCCAACAAAACAAGCCATTTTCTCAATTAAAACACATAGGACTACCACACACTCACTAGAATGCCTATAATATAAAGGACAGATAATTCCAAGTGTCGACAAGGATGTGGAGAAACTGCAACCCTTATGCATTGCTGGAGAGAATGTAAAATAATGCAGCCACTTTTGCAAGCAGTTTACATAATTTACATATTTATATGATTTGCTTAATATTTATTTTTATCATATTTTTCATAACCATTTAGTCCCCTTATACCTCCTCTTCCCCCAATCACCACACTGTTGTCCAGGTCAGTGAGTCCCTTTTCCTTTTTGCTCAGTCCCTCCCTACTACCCTTCCCCTCCTTAGCTATATTTTAAAATGAACTACAAAGAATCACCCACTGTAATGTCATCCTAGGCAATCATGTTCTTTATGTGTTAATTATGTTTTTCTATACATATTGAAGACATACTTAATGATTTAAAATGTTGTTCACTTACTATTAATTTCTTGTGCCACTGATGGTATACATATAGTCCTTTGGGAAACACTAGGTTATTCTATTTAACTTAAAAGTTTAAATTAATTTTCATTACTTTTCAAAGCAGTTACTCAAAAACAATAATATAAAGTTTTATGTAGCACATATTAAAATACATAAAGTATTAGACCTTCATTTAGCAAATGCTTGGGAAGGATTTCAGTTGGCTTTTTTCGACTGAAAGGGACGAAAGAGCTGCACACGCAGGGAACCTCCAGAGCCAAGGTGTCTTCCTTCCTACTCTCACCCAACTGGACCACAACCATGTTCTGGGGAAAAAGAAGTCCTCTGTATAGAGAGGAAAAAAGGAACTATAAAAAATGCCATTTAAGCAACCATGGTCAGTTTTCTTTTTTATCCTCACTTGAAGACATTTTTTTCATTGTTTTTAGAGAGAGGAAGGCAGCGGGGAGAGGAAGGTGGGGAGAGAGGGAGGCAGGGAAGGAGGAAGAGAGGGAGAAACAAACATTGATTGGTTGCTTTCTTGTACATGCCCCAACCAGGGATGGAACTCTCAACCTGGGTATGTGCTCTGATGGGGAATTGAACCCCTGATCCTTCGGTCAACAGCAGGATGCTCCAACTGAGTCACACAGGCCAGGGCAGGGCCGTGTTCTTTAAATTCTTCATTGTGTTCTTCCTTTTTCTACTTGCCAAATTTATTTAATGTGCTTCTATTTTTTAAAAAGAAAATACAGAACTTTCATTCTTTTGGATACCTTCAGATGAAAATTTCATATTTTAATCTATTGTATTCAAATTTGTAATTTTATTTGCAAGTTTACATTTTGATTAAAAAATTTTAAGTGAAAATAACAATTTCTTCTTTTAAATACTGCATTTCACATGACATTTTGTGGCCAACTGCATTACTATGTTCTCTAAGTTCTCAAAACACTAAAAATATTTTTGTTTTTTCCATTATTATATAAAAAATATAGGTTAAAAAAAACTAAAAGTCCTCAATGGCCAGAGCAGAATACAAAAACACTAGGTTCTGAAAAATGGATCTAAAATCTCCCTATAATTATAGCGTGATTATTCTTAAAACTCTGTAGGTTAAATGATAGGATGTGTGGGATTTCCTTTTGTTCACTCTACCAGGGATGAGGACATGCAGGGGGCTGGTGAACAGATGAAAGGGATACATGTAACTAGAAAAATTAGAAAAATAGCACCATGTTGCTAACTGCTAAAGTTAGGTGTCACGACTAAATAGGTGTTATCTTATTTTTAAAATTTTCTGTGTATTTGAAAGATTCTTTAAGAGTTAAAACAGAAACAGATAAAACAATCCTCCATATGCATTACTGCAGTGACACCTAAAGCAAGCTCTGTAACGTGCCCGCAACAGAACAAAATATACAGCAAAACAGATTCATTCCAAAACAAAGCATCGGTGGTCTGTATTTGTCATTTTATTTTATAATCCAATAAAAAAAACACTCATTTACCAAAAGCCAGCTATTTAAAAGTTGTAGGAAAGGTTATTATTGCCACCTACTGGACACTGTGATTAACTACTTGCTATATTTAAAAAAAAGAAGTCTCTGTGGAATAGGTTCTCCTGTCCTACCCCAAGCCTTTGGTCTTTCACTCATTAGAAATGCAAATTTCCCAGGTTCATCCCAGATTGCTGAGTGGTTGCTGGGTTCAACCTAGCAATTTGTGCCTGCAAACCTTCCAAGTGATTTTGATGCAAGCTAAAGTTTCAGAATTACCAGTATTTACTATAAAATTTGAAAGTTTTTACTCTTAAGATTTACTGATTTCTAATAAAATCTAATAGTGCAGTAATACAAAAGAGAAAGAGTAATCTAGCATATCATTATAAACACTCGGCATTGGTTCTAGTTAGCCAGTAGAAGAATGCTCTAGCGGAAGGGTAAGGAATTATTTATTCATAAACCACTTAATAAGACCCTGGAATGTTCTTGCCCAGAGCAAGTTTTCCAACCATAGTTCCTTGTTCTGGTTTGCTCAGATCAAAAGGCACCTTTCTAAGGCATAAGATCTTTAGCCTTTACCATGCCTTTTAACCCAGGAATGCCACTTCTAGAAATAGAGAGCAAAATGAATTATGCCAAAGATTTTCTCTAAAGCATTAAAAAAATAGAGGGGACCAAAGGGAATTAAATGCCTACAAATTGGAAATGATTCCATAAATTAAAGAATCAATAGGATGGAATATTGTTCAGCCATTAAAATGATGCTTTTTATATGAAATTTTAAATAGTACAGGTAAATGCTTACTTTACAATGTATATGCATGTTGTTTCTGTCCATTGAAACAGACAATGGAAAGCATCAAAATATTAATGCTGGTTATCTATGGGTAGTAAGATTATGAGTGATCTAAAAAATATTTGTTAGTGTTTTTGCCCTAGCTGGTGTGGCTCAGTGGATTGAGTGCTGACCTCCAAACTGAAGGGTCGAAGGTTTGATCCCCAGCTGGGGCGCATGCCTGGGTTTCGGGCCAGGTCCCAGGTGGGGTGCATGCAGGAGGCGACCACACATTGATGTTTTTCTCCCTCTCTTTCTCCCCTCCCTTTCCCTCTAAAAATAAAAATGAAAAATTTTAAAAATAATATTAGTGTTTCTAAAATCATCAGTAACAAGAGCATATTTATTTACTCTATTAATCAGAAGAAAATCTACAAATACAATAGAGCTTCTACTCTGTGAATTAGAATCTTCAAATAATAATTAGTAAGCTTTCAAAAGATGGGAATCGTGGGAAACAGGCAGATCATTTTTCTCTCCATCCTGCACTACTCTTTTCTCACTCATCCCGCTCTTTTCTTCCTTCCCAGCAGTTACGTCATAGCCTTACATCCAGAGATATGAAAAAACTAAAGTATAATTTCTCAATATTTTAAAATGTTAAGTGTTAACAGTTTAATTTATCTTAGAATATACTAACAGAAAGTAAAATAGCCTAATAGTTAAAAGAACAGGCTTCAAAAATCAGACAGTTCGTAGCTTTGAATCTTAGGTTGCCACTTATGGGACCTCGTACAGGTTTCAATTTCCTTATCTGTGAAATGGGAGCGACACCCTCCTTAGGAAACTGCTCTGAGGGTTCTATGAGAGGATGCATGTAAAGCATAAGATAATAGTAGGCCCTCAGTAGGAGGTAACTGCGATTACTGTTTTGTAGTCAACGTAGTTTAGTTGTTTTTGGTAAACAGCCTTTAAATTTTAATTTCCCTGGGGGAAAAAACAGTGGTGTATAGTGGTTGTTCATGGTCATTTGCACTTCTCAGGCTACTAAAATTTCAAAAACAATTTGGGAGACCTGCATGGAGCTGTCAAAATATTCTTTATCAACTGGATAGTATTAAAACCTACCAACAAATTTATCGGCACTATTATTTCATAAAATGCATGTGGACAGCCCTAAAAGAGTGAAAGATAATTGCAGAGTAAGGGAAATCATTCTCAAGAAAGGACAGTTGGCAACTGTGTGCCAAAATGATCTACCCTCGGTTTTCTTCCTGTTTTGTCACATACCAGTAAACACTTAAGAACCAATACCAGTTGCAACCTGGCACTTGATTAAAGACATTTAACTTCTCGGCCTGATTCTTCATCTGTAAAGGAGGTTGTTCTATCATCCAACAAACACTAACCAAATTTATTACTTCCTATTAAGCAGAATTCAGGATCCAACAAGGTTAAGTATGTGAAAACACTATACATGGTGTTTTGTATATTGTAAAACACCATAAAAATACACATTGTTATTATAAAAGTGTATTATAAATTGATTCCTAAGATGAAGAAAAACAATTTCCCACTCACATTTTAATGGCTTAATCATTTTCTATATTCATGTTATCAAAGTAACATTCAAAAGTTTTTAGAATGAACATTTTCCAACATTTTCTGTATTTTTCCTTTAGAAAACAGTCATATTTATGATATAGCTCTTGACTCCGCCAGTCTCCCTCTTAGGGGAATGGAGGATGTTACTTTTCCCTCGGATGATGTAGTTCTCAAGGGAAGGTTATTAAGCTAGAAATTGCTGCTATAATTTCAGCATGTAAAATATGAATTCTAAGGAAGGAGATGTAATAGGATCTAAAAGGTAGTTTCAAACACAGACAGAATTTTATTTTCTTATTGTTGAAAGTGTTGTAAGATTTTCCAGTGTGAAAATCCACTTTCAAGTATAATGATCAAGAAACAACAAGACACCAAATGTAGAAATTACAGTTTTATAATTTTCTGTTTCTCCTTAATCCACTTTAAAAAACTTCACAATACAACAGTTTCAGGCAGCTTCTTTGTGACTTTCTTTGGTTTCAACCTCTTTAGGCAACAATGGCTCGATCTTTAGTAATAAACCTTCACTTGTCGAACTACGAAGGAACGCTCGTACCACAAAGGGTCCTAGAAACAAAGACAAGAATCAGCTTTCATTTGGTACCATAGATACCTACAAGCAAATACAAACATACAACTAGAAGCCTTATAGCACTCATGCTCTATGTTGTAAGTACTGACATTACTAAACTAACATTTTGAAGTACAGGAAAGGAAAGATCATTTCACTTTTAGAGAAGACAGACCAGCTACACTCTAGAATATTAGAGATTTATCCTTTAAACTATATGTACTCACAAATAATTCATTTCTCTATGCCAGAATATGGTCACTTCAAATTTATTTTATTGCAAAGTCAACAGTGAAGGAGCAGGTGGCAGTATTTACACTTGATAGAAATATTCTAATATTTATTTAAAACAGTCAACACAGATGCTACCTTTATGCTACCAAACATTTAATAAGAGCCCTTAAAAAATTTAAAAGCTTTTCCTATGAGGAACATTAAGGGACTTTGTTTAAAATGGCAAAAAACAGATAACTATATTGTTTTTTAGAGATTTACCATCCATCATTCTATCTATTCCGGCTAGTCTGAGAGGAGCCTACACTCAAATCAAAGTTCTCCGTGGAATGTAAGAATCCATATAAATATGCAAGCCATTACTAAGTACTGTGGCCAAATACAGGACGACTGAGTTAACAAATGAGGAACTTCTACCAGTGTGTTTAACTCTCAAAGAAGGTGAAAAACAGTGTAATACTGTATTTTAATTAGCCATTTGGGTATAAAACCCAAAGACACAGACGCCTACAATGATGAAATTCTAAGCAGGCAGTCCTGAGTGTAAGGGCACTTGCTTGGCCACAGGCGGCTGAGTGAGACCTGCGTCGGGATGCAATGTGAGGGGCGGGGATGCAACGATGAGGGCACTGACGTGTGCCCAGTGACCACGTGGAAGGTGCGGCTTCACAGCACCACTTCACAAATGATTTTGGTTTCTATTTAATGTCCTTTTAAGTTTAAGGCAATCAGTTTTCATGCGAACTTTATACATAATGATAGAAATCCTGTGGAAATTTACGAAGGTTCCAGGATGTACAGCATTCCCATTAATGTTAGAGAGGTGTCCTCTCTAAGCAACTGCACTTGTTAATAAGGCAATTAGAAATCCTTTGGAAAATTATATTTCATTTATTTAATCCCTGGAAATATCACTGCTACTGTAGTTACATATCAACTTGATTGTTTTCTTAATATTTTGCATTTTTAAAGCATCATAGGGCTCTAGGGAAGTCTACTCCAGCTGACCACTTACCCAAATCCAGTGGTCTGTGCCTACAAACTTCGCTGACAACAGCCTGCAGATTGGCAGCTATCTCGTCACTTGACATATTCAGCTAAAAAAAAAAAAAAAAGGACATATAACATATACAACATTAATGATGTGAAAATGAGAAAATAATACAAATTTTGGTAACTGTATAGTATTTATATGAAAATCCTTGATTTCCAAGTAATTTCCCCAAAACATATCCTGGAGCAGAACATACCACACACCTTATCCCTAATCCTCAAGGAATTACTGTTATTTGTTCTTGAAGTTATTTGTTGATTTACTTTTAAGGAAAACTAAGAACATGTTTAGCAATTAATGCTATCACAACTTCAAAATAAAACTTGACTACACACCTTCAGACAACATATGTCTCACACAGAGATATTTCAGGATGCTATGCTCACACTCTAATGATGCAAAAATAATTATTCTGCTATTTAGCAAAAAATACAATAAGTAAATATATATGGGGAACCAGACCTATTCATAAAACTCCTAAACCCTGGGAAACTCACACCTTTGCAAAGTCCTTGTGTTCATCCTTCAAATTTTAATGCGCGTTATTCTTAAATATCAGTTAAAATGTTACATTACAGCTTAGTATTTACAGGGTTTTGCACATTACCAAATGAATCAATTTTTAAACATTCATATAAAACTTACAGTTGCATAATCAGCAAATATCACACAGTAAGAGTTCAAGTTATTCCTATTTTCCAATGACTCTGAGAAATGTGCCACATAAGCATAAAGAGAATTCCTCCTGAAAAAATCACCCTCGTCCTCATCAGACCAAATTTACCCGACACTCTCTTGGGAATGATGCAGTATCACACCCTAAATGAGAAGGTGTGGATATTATTGGACAAACTTTCACTTTAATCCAGAAATGGAATTCTGGGGGGAAAAATACCAAGCAATGCTCAGTTCACCTTCCTAAGTCTACAGACCTTATAGACTTCCATTTGCATTGAAGTAGCAATAGACTGGCAGACAAGGCACCTTACATTTGCTCAGTTAGAAAACAAAAACACCAAGGGTACAACACGTATCCCTGCTCCTTTCATTCCCCTTTTAACTCTACACTTTACCTCACATTGTGCTTCTTTCCATATCAACTGAATTAACTACCACAGACCTAGTAAGTTCCTTTACTCTTGGTTAAAGATCTAAACCTAACTTAATTTGTGATAGCAACAGATACAAAGAGCAAGATGTCTGACTAACCTTTTAAAATAGTTTGTTATACTATATATACTAAACTCACCAGCATTTTGTAACTGCTGTATAATTTCTGCTGACTTATACTGCCATTCCTACAGTGAGCTAATAACAACATGGCTTCACAAATGGAAAACGATGACTTCCCTGCAACTTTCATCAGTAGGATGACTTCATTAAGTTTTTCTTTTTTAAGACTTTTATTTATTTACTTTTTAGAGAGAGGGGGAGGAAGGGAGAAAGGGAGGAAGAGAAATAGCGATGTATGAGAGATATGATTGGTTTCCTCTTATGTGCCCCCATCTGGGGACCACAACCCAGGCATGTGCCCTGACTGGGAATCAAACCAGAGACCTGTAGGGTTGCAGGCCAGCACTCAATCCACTGAGCCACAGCAGCCAGGGCTGATTTCATTAAGTTTTAAAATAGTTTACACTTTTATCCAAATTCACCTCTATCTTTACTGAATACTGTGTCTACTGAATTTAAAAATATATTTGTAGCCTTAATACTTCATTTTACTTTTTCTTTTAATATTGTGCAAAATTATGAAAAAGTATATGTATCTTTATGGCCATAACTGTGGTTATTTAATTGACTACTGATGACAGGATACCTATGTACAAAAACAAAATGTATGTGTGAATGACAGATTTATTTGGGCTGATAACAATCTAGAGATAACTCTTGAAAGTAACATTTATAATTTCCTCTATTCTGTACTTCCAAAACTGCTTTCTCATTCAGTAACATTTTGTGGTCTTGCGAAGGAAGTCAAGAATGGCCATTTTGAGGAGACAACTGTTCGATTCTCAATAGCAGAGTATGACACTTGGTACAGCTGGTTAAAACAAAACACACAAAACAAAAGGAATGGGTTGACCTTGAAGGGCAACTAAACCCTGTTAAGCATCCTGTGTGTGTACATAAGGTATGCTCTTGAATATATACTAGTCATAATACTATCTATCTTTGGCAAAAATGGTTATCTACTGCAGGACAAAATAGTTATTGCATAATAAATGTTTTGTATTATAGACATTTTGCATCCTCGTTCTGCATCATAGATGTTTCAAGAAAAGACTGCTTCACCAAATCCTTCTGCTTAACATTAACATACCTTATTATGTAAGAATTCCCTAAGCAGACTAGATGGAAGACTTACCAAAGATTTTAATGGCTCAGTGGGTATAGGTGAACTCTACCTCTTTGCTTTAACTGTCAGATTTTCCTGTTTCCATGAAATAGCTAACCTTTGTCTTCAATCACTTTCTACCATTATGAGAAAGAACAGCAGTTCTTAATCATTTTTTTGTCCTTTTGAGTTATAGATGTATGGAGAGCAAATTGTAGTCATGAGCATGTCTAAGGCAGTGATTCTTTTTAAAAAAAATATTTTTATTGATTTTAGAGAGTGAAACATCAATGTGAGACAGAAACATCAACTGGTTGCCTCCCCTATGCGCCCCAACTTGGGTTTGAACCTGCAGCCCTTTGGTGTACAGGATGATGCTCCAACCAAATGAACCACACCAGCAGGGCAAAGTAGTGATTCTTAAATGCTTTCAAGGTTATCAAATCTCATGCACACAGGCACACAAAAAAATTAGCATATATCTTCATGGACTAAAAGAAAGAGGAAGAGAGAAGAAAGGGTCCTGAGAAAAGTGTGTCAGTTAAACGAGATCCCTAGGCCTCACTGAGGATTGCCAGTATAGACAATTAAGTCTGTTCAAATATTCTGGATTTACTAAGGACTACAGTGTGAAAAAAAAGATTCAACTTGTTTTTTTACATTTTACAGAGGGCAAAACTAAAAAAATTGCAAACTGTGTATACATGATTGTTAAATAATCATATGGTCTTCCTAAAGTGGCCAGCTTCTGTCACTGTAACTGTACTGATAGCCATGAGGTGACTTATCATCTGTAAATGGAAACTACAAGGACTGCTACTTTGAATAAGCACATGTTAGAACATCTGACCCCCCAAGTCCCTTCCAAGTGCCATGTTCTAAGGCTGTATAGAGGCGGCCCAGCATATGGTTGCTGCAGATGGGCCAATACTCTTAATCCCCATGACTCCTAACAGTCTAGACCAAGAAAAGGAAGATAATCTGTGTGTTTCCTATAGAACATTATGGAAAATAATGATTGATTAAGCAGCTGTTTATTGGGTCTTACTCTTAGGCTCTGTTCTAAGCATTACAGAGATATTATCATTATGTCCCCCAAAATATAAATAATTTTATAAGTCCCTTTTGGAAGTCCCCCCTCCTCCTTAATCTCCTTAGTACTTCCTGGTTCCCTGGGGCTCCCTTTTGGCACTCGGCCCAGAGTGTTAGGACTTTATTTACCCCATTTTGCCACTTACTTCTGCAACTGTTCCTGCAGTGGGGGCCAACTGGCAGGCAGACAGAATAAAAGCAAAGGCAGATCCTCTTGGGACCACAGATCCTCTAGTCAGAAAGGATCTGCACCCACTGCTACTACTAGGAGCCATGACCTCTACTTTTCAAGCCTGAAGCAGTAGGTTCTGGACTCCCTCTGCCAGCACTGAGGTCTATTTCCAGGTTTCAGGCTATGGTTGAGACCAGACCACGTGACCATACCGGGGGGCGGGGGAATGGCAAACTCACCGCCAGTTTGGTAGTACTTCAAATTCTGGTCTTCCCTAATTTGCCTGCCACTATTTAATTTTTCAGAATCTTCAAACAGCTTGCTCCATGCATTCTGTCCAGGTTTTATAGTGGCTGCACTCATGGGAGAGACAGGCTGTCACGTGCTTACACCTTCCCACCTGGAGTTGAAACTTGCCAAGCTTACGTGGCATGTCTTTACATTTTAGGGTTGGCAAGCATTTTCTGTGAAGGATCAGACAGCAAATACTCTAGGCTTTGAGGGCCACATATGATTTCTGCTGTATATTCTTTTTCCTTTTTTATACAATTCTTTAAAAGACCATTCTGAGTTCATATATGATTCAAAAAAAGGCATGGTTTGCCAACTCCTTTATTAATACGCATTATTTGTCTACAAATATATAAAATGCATGCAAAGACAAGTGGTATGAATTACGCTTTACATCACTTTAACAAATTATCTACCAAAATCTAAAGGCTCAAGCAGCTTTCATCACTGCTTATGGTAAATATATTTAAAAATGCTTAATTGTTTCTATATTTAATATATTAAATTCATAACAGGTATCTTATTGCTTATTTTAATATTATATAAGTAAATGTTATTATATGTTTTAAAGTAACACTAATGAAAGTCACAAGGAATTATCTTTCAGATCCATTCAATTTCTTCTCCCAGCATCTGGAAATACAGAATTCTATGAAAGCTGCCATATTTATCACTGGTTTTTTGAAATAAAGCTAACAAAAGAAAGCTACATGTGCAGTATACTGGCAACTACTTATTAATAAATGGACTGGCAAACAAAGGAAGGCATGTCAGTTTACTTTCCTTTGGCACATAATGCTACATTTGTATTTTTCATCTCTGTTATTCCATTGATGAATGATCACTGCATTGCTGAGTTAATGCAATGAATTAAAGAGAAAAGTTAGCTGTTCTCTCAAATAGTATGGTTTTTCTTATGCTATTATTTATTTATTTTTTTAAAGATTTTATTTAGTTTTAGAGAGGGGAAGGGAGGAAGCAAGACAGGGAGAGAAACATCAATGGAAGAGAGAAACATTGACTGGTTGCCTCCCGTAAGTGCCCCAACTGGAGACCAAACATGCAACCCAGGCATGTGTCCTGACCAGGAAGCAAACCAGTGACCCCTTGCTTTGTGGGACAACACGCAACCAACAGAGTCACACTGGTT